TTAAGTCGATATCAGAGTGGTTTGAGGCTCCTGATAAAAGTTTGCACTATCATCTTTTCCAACAAGTATTGTTATGATACATGATAATGTCTGTGCGAAAGCCCCACAAATGCTGATAAACTGGATGTGATATTCAGTGTAACTAACACTTGCTTATATTCTACATCATCTGAACACAGTTGCCTTGTGAACATGCAACTGCATTAGAAGGCTTTCCATTTTCCTAAGAATGCTGAGAACCTGGAGATTTTCATTAGCTAATAGGATAATAGGACAGATTCCCAATAATTAATAACCTTTCTTCCTTGTATTTCAAGGAGAGAGATACTTTTGGCACAACCCAGTGATAACTATAAATTTACCTGAGGATGCTTTTAAAAATTTCACTTCCTGAGTCTTAGGAGGCAGAGTTCTGATGTAGGTGTCCTATTCAGGGCCTCTTGTTCTCTGCACATTGGCCAATTGTGGGTTTCTGTCATTGGGGAAGAGGATGTGGAAAGATTGTAAGAGCCAGACCCAGACCTAGTGGATGACTGCAAGGAAGCATAGTTTTCCAGACAGCTGGGTCAGTTACTCCTATGAACTCACAGCAATGATGACAATATTCCCAAGCCCCATGCAAGCTCAAACCAGACAAAATCCCAGCATAGACGTGGGGAAGTAAGAAATTCTAACCCAACCTAAGGAACTTTTGGCAATTGATAGATGCTGGGAAGGGGATACAGTGTCTTATAGGGATGGTATTCTTGGTGGGCCCTGTGGATGGACCCACACTGAAGCACATTTGAGAACATTACTCAGACCCTTTAGATCATATTATATATCTAAGAGAGTACATTAAATTGGGTGGGGGGCATGGGTGGAGGTATGGACAGGGGAGGGGAATCAAATTGCAATCAAACTATATTGAATGAAAATTACAAAACTTCAATAAAAAATAAAATTAAAAAATTCACTTCCACTTCTGCTTAATGGAATAATACTTCCTTAGAAATTTCAGGATGCCATGAAATTGTTTTGATTTTTTACTTCTTTAAAAGTATTCTTAAAAATAGGGTACAAAATAGTTTCATCATGACATTTTTTAGGCATGCATCATTTACTTTGCTTCTGTTTGCCCTTCTATCACCCACCCATGTCTCCACCTCCCCTCCCATTGGTCTCCTCTTGAATAGTCCTGCTTCTGCCTTAATGCCTACATGTACTTAGTCTGTGTATGAGAGAAAACACTGGTGCTTGTCTTCTGTCCCCTCTGTTATCCTCTTGTTCCATACCCCATTAGTCTCTTGTCTTCTGCCCAAATAGTCCTCTTTCTACTTTCATGAGTTATAGATTTTTTCCCTTTTTAAATTTATATTCTCTATATGAGAAAAAATGTGATTATTTAGCTTTTCAGAATCTGGCTTCACTTAGTATAATGAGCTTCATCCATTTTACTGTGAATGTCATAACTTCATTTTTTACAGCTGAATAAAAGGCCAGTGTACAAAAACACCACATTTTATTTATCCATTTATGTCCTGATTGGCGTCGAGGCTGGTCCTGTGTCTAGCCTATCGTGAATAATGCAGCAATAAACATTGATGTACAGGAATCTGCAGTATGCTTATTTAGATCATTTCAGATATATACTCATGAGTATATCATATAGTACTTGGGTCATATGGTGATTCTATTTTTAGTATGTTAAAGAATCAGTGTACTGATGTCCATAGAGGTGGTTCGAACTTACAGTCCAGTCCCACCTACAATATATAAGCATTCCCTTTTCCTGTATCCTTGACAGCTATGCATTCCTTAGTGGTCCTTGTTTTCTAAGCCCTTTTCCACTTTTAAACTGAGAATCATTTATGCCTTTCCTGTAAAACAGATGCTCTGTCTGTTTGCTCAATTTCTCTCTGTCCCTTCCCCTTTTCAATTTCTGTATCAGATATGATCCATATAGTTATTTATTACTAGTCAAATTTATTGGATGCTTTCTCAGACCCTAACTCGATCCTTTGCAAATCCATATGCCCATTTTGTATGTTGAGTCTAAAGTGTCCACACTGATTATTACCACATATATTCTAGAGATGGTCAAGTACCAGTTACAACTGGCCTGGTTTCTGTTGTCCTGTGGGCAGATTTGATGAGCAGAACCATCATACCTTCATTTTCAAATAACAGCATCTGCTTCTTTAGACAATGGCATAGGTATGTGTAACTTCATGTGTAGAATCCAGGGGCTTTAAAAGGTTTAAGGAAATATATTGTTTGATGTTGGGGATGAGGTTTTTGTTGTTGAATTCATGATAAAACTTTCTTTGAAATACATCACTTTCAGTGTCTCATTCTTCTGAAAATGTCAGCAGTTCATGAGAATCTTTATGAAGAGTTCCAGATGGGCCTGGCTTTATGAACATGCTTTGCCTTTTCTTATTATTACCTTCATTCAACATTTCTGGACACGTGTATTATTGTACTTTCCTGAAATTTGCTCCTAATTATTTTCTCTTGTCTGCCCTCCTCCTGCTTGTCCTCTTCCTTGCCCTTAATATGTATTCATGTGTGTGTGTATGTATTTAAATCTAGATTCTGCATATGAGAAAAATTATGCAACTTCTGTCTTCCATATCCCCATTAGCCAGACTCTCTTCCCCTCTCTTTTGACCTCTTCCTTACCCACATAATCCCTCTTATACTTTCATGTAATAAATGTATGTAAATATATATGCACACAGCTATATCATCTAACTTGTACATATAAAAAATATGTGCTATTTGTCTTTCTGAATCTGGCTTATTTTACTTAACATGATGATCCTCCAGTTCCATTTGTTTTCATGCAGATGACATAAAGACATTCTTCTTTTTACTTCTGAGTAATTTCCATTGTGTACACATACTGCATTTTCTTTCTCCATTCATCTGTGGCTATAGCAAATCGTGCTGCAATTCCCATGGCTGTGCAGTATCTCTGTGGTGTGCTGACAGGGATTCTTTTGATTTAGTTTTTATCTGAAGACTACCCTGCAGGTAGACACAGCCACTTCTGTTTGAACATATCTGTACTGCACTTGCACATTTGCTCATATTCTCTCTGTACCTAGGATGAACTTGCCTCTTTTTTCATTACAAAAATAATTTGTCTTTCATAGCCTGTTTTACTTTTGCCTATGAAGACTTTATTGAAACATGTAATTAGAGGAAAAGAAGAGTATTTATTTGGGGCAAGAAGCAACTAACATTTTGGCATCAGCTACGTGGGAGTACTGTGACAGCGTTTTCCATATTTCAGCGAGCATTCCTCATCTCGTGAATTCCTACTGGTTCTCTTGTTCAAGAAGAACATTAAGCCAAGAATGGTGGTACATGTCCATAGTACCAGAATTTGGGAAGTAGAGGCAGGAAGATCAGGAGTTGAAGACAAGCCTTAGTTTCTCATGGAGTTCAAGGTCAGATGGGCTACCTGAGGCTTCATCTGAAAAAACAGACAAAAAGAAATCATGATTATCATTATTATGACCAATCTCTTTGACATTAATAGACATGCCACCTTTATCATTTGTGTAATTCACTACCTGGTTTTTGATACACAAAGAAATATAATGGTTTTATGATCCTGGATCAATGGCAGATGCATGTGTGAAAAAAATATAATTAAAGCAATACATCTTAATGCCATCCCTTATCCTTTAAGAGAAAAACAACAAAGAAAATGAAAAAGGATATTTTTTTATTGAAAACAAAAATATTGTTCAGTATTTATTGCTTGATTATATAATTTGTGAGTACTTGTACTATAATTTAAGATACGGTTTTGCTTATTTTTAATAGCTTATCTTTGCCTAAGAATCAGTTCTGTTCAGTGTCTTGTGCCTAATTACAGGAGAAATTGTTCCCAATGATAAGAAGTCAATGTATATAAAAACAAAGACTTGAGCTAGATTAAAGATTACCATGGCTGGGTGTGGTGGCGCAGGCCTTTAATCCCAGCACTTGGGAGACAGAGGCAAGCAGATCTCTATGAGTTCCAGGCCAGCCTGGTCCACAGAGCAAGTTCCAGGCCAGCTGGGGCTATAGGGAAACCCTGTCTCAAAGAAGAAGAAGAAGAAGAAGAAGAAGAAGAAGAAGAAGAAGAAGAAGAAGAAGAACAACAACAACAACAACAACAACAACAACAACAATAGATTACCATGACTTATGTAGTTGATTAAGATCAGTTATTCAGTACTTATCTAAACATGTACCATTTGTCTTACAGGTGAATTATTTTTGTTGTTAGGAAACATTTCTATGAACTGAATTTTCCAAACTCACATCCTTTTATAACTTAATTTCTTAATATTTTTCTAAGGACCATTTTTCAATGCACTCCTTGAATTGGTTCTAAGCTGAAACACTTTTCTTTTCTCCTTAAATGTAATAGCTTTTCCCCCATTATTTAGGGTACTTATTTATTTTACCATAAAAGGACTATCTTGTTAATACTGCAACCATTTTTCAGTAATTAATGTACTGCAACATAAAACGACATATACAATTTTAATGTTACAATACTTTAATGTACCAAATTTGGATTTGGCTATTTGTGAAAGTAGATGTCTTTTAAAAATTGCACCTAGAGTGAACGAAATCCTGGAAGAAAAAGAGATCTCATAATAGTGATACTACAACGCTTTCTAAAAAATAGATTCTTTTCATTATTCTTGAGATATAGAAAATTGTAATACCTTTTCATGTTTCATTTTACTGGCAATTGGGACCTGAAGCTTAATTTTTAATATTGACCCAAGGTGGGAAACTTGAAATTTGCACAGAGGGAAAGTAGTATTTTACTGTGAGTGTACAGCATCCAGATGTAGGAAATTCCTCGTTCATGACTGAATTGAGCCTCAGTCCAGCACAGGACATACTCAGAGTCAGGGCTTCAGGAAGCCCCTGAACCAGAGGTCGTGGAACCCATGGAACCCAGAAAAGTTTCCTGCTGCCTTTCACACTTCTCTTTTCCTTCCTAGGTGTTAAAGTGGGTGGAAGAAGCAGTCCAGGCCTCCAAGGTTCACCTCTTATCTACAGATCACTTGGAGCAGGCTGTGAACACTTGGAAAATTCCTTTTGATCCCAGCCTCAAAGAAGTTACTGTGTCCCTGAGCGGCCCTTCTCCTGTGATTGAAATTCGAAATCCTTTTGGTGAGATGAATCAAACACTGTCTACTTGGGGGAAGGAGACATTTTTGTGCTTTTCTGTCACGAATTGCCAGTATTATTGTTCTAGTTACCTTTCTATTGCTGTGATGAAAACACTGGCCAAACCAACTGGAGAAGAAAGAATTTATTTGGCTTACAGCTCACAGTCCATCATCAGTGGAAACTAAGGAATGAACTTAGGGCAGGAACCTAGAGTCAGGAACTGAATGAAGCACAGACCATGGAGGAATGATGCTCTCTGGCTTGCTCCTCTCGTCTGTGCTCAGCCTGCTTTCTTATACAACCTGCCCAGGGGTGGCATCACCCGCAGTGGGCTGGGCCCTTCCACATCATTCAACAATCAAGAAAATGCCTCACAGACATGTCCACAAGCCAATCCGATAGAGGAAATTTCCCAATTGAAGTTTCTTCTACTCCGGTGTTTCAGCTTGACAACTGAAGCTAGCCAGAACAATTATGAATAAATTCAATAAATTCGTGAGTGACTATAGAAAATGTTTAAAAAGGAGAAAGTAATTTATTCCTAGGTATTCTTGAATTAACACAAGAATCAAAAAGTTAAAATTTCTCATATTTGAACAGATCAGACTCATGAAATTTATTGTAAATTATTCAAATAAATATATTTAAATAATAACTTACCATTATTGCTGTACTGGAGATTAAACTTGAGTCTTTTACATGCTCAGCAAGTGCTTTGCCACTTAACTATATCCTCAGTTCAAATATTTTTAATTTGTATCTATTTCATAGTAATTTATTGTGTAAAATTTAACATTTTATGTTGATTTTTTTTGCTTTGAAGAATTATTTTTTTACCATTTTTTTTAAATAACTACAAGATTAGAAGCTTTTCAATACAGCTTTAACATATTCAGTAACACACTCCAGAGCAAGAGTACATCTTTTTTACAAGTGGGTGTAAGTTTCTAAGTTCACAATTGAATTAATACAGTTATATATTCTTGAACTCAGTATAAGCCCTGTAAGACATAAAATTATAAGGGTTTTTAACCTTTAAAAAAGATCTCCATTTCATTTTTTCACATGCATTTCTAATCTCTCTATATATGACTATTACTGGTCACAGTCGCTTACTTTCTGAGTTCCTTGGCATCTGAGTATGAATGTAAACTCGTCAGATAGACAGCCTTCCTCTCCCACTAGAGCCTCCTTACTCTGCTATCCTCTTAGCATCCATTTTAAGGCCAAGAGCAGACCCAAACTGCTGGCCTGCTCCTTCAGATTTTTCTTGGAGCTGTGCTCCACAATAAGGGCCTCTGCCCTCTGTTGTTTTATTAAAACAGTATATCCAATGTGAATGGGGAAATAAAGCTAAGACCCTTATCAGAGACAAATTTAGCCCTTTGATTCCTAGACATAGAATATCACATACATACACACACACACACACACACACACACACACACACACGAAATAATTTCTCTCATTATTCACAATGTGATAAGCACTGATTTCAATGCTTTCATATATGAAACATGCATGCATACATTCAGAAATTATTTGGATGGGGAGCAAGAAAGGGTCATGAGGGATTAAGGACATAAGCCCAGTTAAAAAGAAGAACACATAGCTCGGTGTGCTTATTTACATTACAAGCAAACAACATAAGATTAACTTTTTGTTTGCAAGGTTAGTAAAAGCTATTTGTCCAGAGTACGTCCAAATTGTCATTACCACAAGATTCAAATTCCCAATCCTCCTGCCTCAGCTTTTCAACTGCTGGGACTATTGGTGTGTGACACCAAGGCTAGTTCTGACAATTTCTTTTTATTTTGTGAAAATAATACAAAAATAGTAAACTTTTAAAATATATTGATTGCTGTTTTGCATGAAAAAATTCTAACTAAAAAGTTAAAGAGGAAGTTACTCAGTATGGGAATGTCCTATGAATTTATGGTCATATCTTTCTGTAAGGGAAAGTAATAAAGGGGGACTATCACCAAATACTTGAAGCTTGAACAAAGTAGTTATGTTTGAATGCATGATGTAGACAACTTAGTAGCAAATATGTCATGACTATGTTGATTTTTAAAGAATCACTAATATAACTCCTTCTAAAACAACCTTCTAACTGTTCATCGTCATTTTCTTGAAAGACTAAATTTTATAGAAGACAGTTCAAATTTAGAGGGCTAGGGATGAGTACAGTGCTTGGCACACAAGTGTGAACACCTGAGTTCCAATCCTCAGAACCTGCACGATAAACTGGATGCAGCAGCACATGTCAACAGTCCCAGTACTCCTAAGCCTAAGACTAGAATCACCTGGAAGCTGGGGACAGCTAGCCTGGCATATGCAGTGGTGGTAAAACAAGAGAGAGAGAGTCTGTCTCAACGAAACAACAAAGAAACCAAGGTGAAATGCCAAGACTGGTACCTGAGGTTGTTCTCTGATCCCCACGTACATGCTGTGATCCTCCACACTCATACGTAGTCACCCCCCCAACACACACCATGCATACAAATAAATAAGTTGCCTAGCATGCATGAGGCCCCAGTTCAATGCCAAAATAAAATATAAAATAATAAAATAAAATAAAATGTGTATTCTTAGTAAAGAATGTTTGAATTTACTGTTTTCTCACTTGCATTTTACAACCATAGGATTTCCCTGATTCCAACACTGGAATTATATAAAATTTACATTGAAAACTAATCTGAGGGCCAGGTGTATGGTGCCAGCCTATAATCCTAGCACTTTGGAAGTAGGTGGATCTCTGTGAGATAGAGGCCAACCTGGTCTACATAGTGAGTTCCAAGACAGCTAGGGCTACACAGAGAGACCTTATCTTTTTTAAAAAAAAAAAAAGAAAAGAAAAGAAAGAAAGAAGAAAAGAAAAGAGAGAAGAGAAAAGCCATTTGAAAATAGAAGCAATCTCATTTTTCACTTTTCTTAACATTTATATTTGGTAAGAACCTACTGGTACTTACAGAACAGCTTTGTTTCCACTGTGGCTGTGGTATATGCTATGTAGCTTTTCCTCTATTTGGGAATATTTGTAAAGGGAAAGAAGGCAGATAGCTTTTTTTATTTGCAATTTAGAAGAAAATAATTCCTGAAAGAAAACAGCATACAAAATGGTGCTCAGGGGCCCTGTCCAGGCTAGAGAGCACATTGAATTCTACAAAAGAAATAAAACCCTTTTTCCAGACTCCCCGAGGTCTGTTCTCATCAGTGGATTTTCCCGCTGCAGTCATATTCCGCCCGCTGATATGGCATCCAGTACCATCCACACTACCCAAAAAAGCATACACCATTGTGTTCCATTTCTACTGCTTTCCAAAGCCCCTGGGCACACAATGACTGTCAATTTTTTGATTATTTTATATATGACTGAATTAGTGGACCCCCATGAAGGCCCAAAGTGAGTAACTATGGCTCAGTTCCAAATTTATTTCTTTCCTCTTTAGAGTCCGACTAGATATTTAAGGTAAATTTCAGGCTGCCAGGGTATGTACCATACAGTTAATTGCAAGGCATCCTTTACTTATTCTTTTCATAGATACAGTCGTTTCCTGCATCAGTTGGAAAACTGGTTAAGGCTTTGCACTTTGTACAAGGATATGCCCAGAGTGTTCATGTTGTAGATCTGCACTGGTCTCCAGAAAAACCTGGTTTGGTTTTGCCATCTATGGAGTCTACCTGTCTCTAATGACTGCATGTAACATCTTAGTATTATAGCCATTGTTCTGTAGGCTGGCTTTGGAAATATGATGACAGTTTGTCAATTGTTAATTTCATTTTACTATCAAAATGCATTATACTGGAATCATTATACGTGGAAACTTAAAATTATGTATATTTGGATATAAATAAAAGAACACTTTGAGCTATGAACATAAATGTCCATTAGGCAAAATACAATGGAAATGGAATGCTTTTTGTTTTAACTATAGAGTAGAAAATAAAAACTCTTTGAGTTAGTTGTAACATACTTAGTAAAAAATAACCAACAACCCCCCCCCCAAAACCCTGTCTATTTGAAATGTGATCATTCTCTTAGATGTGTATAGTATTAAATTGGCTGATCTTGTTAAGTGAAAGAAAGATTATATACTTGTTACCTTTGTTTTATCATTCAGGGAAGCTGATAAAAAAGGGATTTGGCTTGAATGAGCTGTTAAATATCCACAACTCTGCCAAAGTGGTGAACGTAAAAGAACCAGAACCTGGAATGTGGACAGTGAAGGTACTGTTATCTCACAGTCTATTCGTTATTTTAGTTTTATGCTGGTATCTTTTTAAAATATTTTATTTATTATTTTTATATTACATGTATGAATGTTATGCCTGTATGTAAGTAAGTGTACCCATGTCGTGCAATGCCTGCAGAGGACAGAAGCTGTTGGATCCCCTGGAACTAGAGTTACGAACAGTTGTTAGGTGCCATGTAGGTTCTGGGATTCGAACCCTGGTCTTCTTCAAGAACAGTCAGTGTTCTTAACTGCTGAGCCATCTCTCCAGCCCTGGTATCCTTTTAAAGTATATAAAATAGTTTATTTAATCTGCTCTTGCAATGATTGAGAACATTTTTAATAAAAACACAGGCAGAGGAGGTGTTGATTATGTGAATTGGGTAGTAATTTCAAAGTCTTGTCAACCATAAATGTAATCGATATCACAGGATCAGGATTAAAATCCTTGGACATTTTTCCTGTTATGAAATCTGTGGACTGATGCTACTATCTCTTCCTACTTCCAAAGTCAGCTGACCAGGAGTTAACAGAGAACAATGGTTAGAGTTATAGGCTGTGGTCCAGAACTGCCTGGGACTAGTAGTCAGCAGAAAGACTGCCTTGGGAACAGAACTTCTCTGCTCCTTGCTCTCCTCTGTCATGTGAGGATGGCATTTCTTTGTGGGATTGGGCTGAGAATGAAATAAAACTGTATATAGAAATAGTGTAGTTCATGTTACAAATCAAGCTCTCGAGTGCTGTTGGAAACGACTATTGGCAGATATATTTTCATTAATGAAAAATGTTATATATGTCCTTGGATTATTTTAAGGGTTATATAATCGACATGGTATATAGAATATAACATATGGTCAAACATTCAGGATACTGTGAATTGGAATTCTGATTTTGTTTGTGTGTGATGGGATGTAGTGTGTGCTCTAAGTGAATTGCTCATATTTCTCAGTCTTTTCAGTAGGCTCTGACATCTTTCCAGCTCAAAATCTGCATTTTTGTATCTGAAAGGCTTTTCTTCAGATCAGAACAAGGCTGTTCTGCTGAAGAGTTAACACCTCTCAGGAGCAGCTTTTAGCCCAGGAAGGAACAAACTCCAAACGCAGTCCATGGGAGCAGGCGCCACAGCACACATTTTATTGACCTTTGCTCCTCTGTCATTTCTCCTCTTCTTATCATTCAGCTCAGTATCTCCCAAGGAAATTACTTGTTCTAGAATCCTTGTGGGAGACCCCAAGTGAAGGTACCTGGAACGTTAGTTTCTCTTTCATTAACTCAACTTCTTTACATAAGATATGGGATTCGTGAGATCGTGATTCAAATTATAGAATGGCTGTGAACACGCATGGAGCTGACAGACCATAGAAATTCAAGGAATTTCCAGTCAGATTTTTCATTTTCAAAGAATATATACGTTAATTTTGCAATTTTAAAGAATGGGAATTCATACTGTAACTCGATTCTAGTGCCAAAATATCAGTTCTTTTATTCTCAGAACTCTAAACCCTGTAGGGATAATGAAAAGTGTAGAGTGGATTGGGGAGGCTGTAAATAATATTGGATAAGAAGATAGGGTAAAAGGCAATGTGAATGTAAACTTGGTAATTTCTTAAGAGTGCATCTGTCTTATTGATCCAGCTCTGTGCATATAGTAGATGCTCAATATATATTGAGTGCATTTAATTGGTGATGATGAAGTATTTTCTACTATGATATTTTAAATAAATATGACTAAATTTGATGTTATAGTTATTTTGACTAACTTACCCACAGTGTGACAGGCACTTGAGTCTGCCTTTCTATGACCAAAGTAGAAAGGAATATAGGGAGAGTTGAATGTCCTTATCCCTCAGATGATTACATTTGAGCATGACCTAAGCCAGCAGTGTCCTGAGCCAGCACTCTACCTGGGTACTCTGGTGCTGCTTTCTGAATCATGATGCTAAGGTATCCATTATTGACTGTAAAATGCATGCAGGTGATAGTCATTTATTCTGGGACATTTAAACCTGTTTCCAGGTGATTTGGGTGCTACCAGTGGTCATCCTTTAGTAACTCCTACCTGGAGGAGGGATATAGCATAACTGCTGTTTACCTTGTGCTTTACATGTCTATTTATTCAGCTATCAATTCTCAGTGTCTATATTTTGGCAATGTTTCATGCTATCTGCTTAATGGACACTAAGTATATTTAATTGATAATTAGAACAGATTAGCCTGTAAGAACCATGAGGAGGCAGTAACAACTATGTTTAGGCAAGCATCAAAGCTCAGTCTCCTATAATTAAGAGGCTGATAAAAAGACACGATATCTATTATCACATTGCCTGACATTCATTTCTAGTTCTCATCAAAGAGCCTTCACTTCTGGTTTGAACATTCCTGGTTTACAATTAAAGGTAGCACCAATCAAACAAACCAAAAGCATTGAGGTCAACTTGAAAATAAGAAACATGCTTTGTTTTCATATGAAATGCCAAAAGGATGTTATCAATGTGGTGCGAAGAAAATGGAGCTGCATCTACTGACATAAATATTGCTACTGACATTGGCTCTCAGTGTTAGATAGCTGATGAATGACAAATGTTTCACATATGTGTTTTCTCAAGAAGAGAACTGAGATTAGATAGTGTATCTTACGTGCTAAGCTCCTTTGCACTCTGCTATCTGGAAAATGTCAGCTCTATCAGACGAATTAATAATGACTTTTTGACTGTTTCTCATAACATTTTATTCCAAGTATGAAGAACAATGTTATTTGATCCTACAAAATATCAAAAGACCATGTGATTTGACCTCAACCATCCTTTCTGATCATCCTCTATCACTTATATTTGCACTCCAGTCAAGCTCAATTTTACTTTGTTTTAGGGGTTTTTTGGTCCTGTTTTGTATTTATTTATTTATTTATTTATTTATTTATTTATTTATTTATTTATTTTGAGACAGAGTCTCCCTGTAGCTCCAGCTGGCCTGGAACTCATGATGTAGACCAGGCTAGCCTCAATTTCACAGAGCTCCACCTGCCTCTGCCTCCTGAGTGCTGAGATTAAAGGAAAAGGGTTCTGTCCACTCATTTGTCTAATGTTCTTGTTTTCTAAGCTGCTCTTCCCTAGAATGCCTTTCTTTTCACTCTGACTTGCAGCTATATCCCAAGAGTCAACTCAAATGCCAAAACTTTTCTCAAATCTTGTCAGATGTTTTCTTTCTCTAAAATACTATCTTTACCTCTGACTTCCTACTGCAAAGTTTTTGCACCTCTCTTGGATTATTTTTTCCCCGATATTATCTTTATTTCTATTTATTTATAGAGATTTTTCTTTCTCCAGTTTATTCTGAATAGGTTTTATTACTGCAGAGACCACAGTTCTTAAGAAAGAACCATATAAATATTTACAAATAAAAGTTAATATGTTTATTCTGGTGCCGTCTAAGGAATCAGGCAGATTTGGTTAGCCTATAGTTGACGCACTAGAATGAGAGACTTTAATGTGTTCATGTTTCAAATGCCACCAGAGTGGAAATTTTTTTTTCTTTTGTGCTTTCTCTAACAAAGAATTTCCTGTGATATACTAGGGCATGTTTACAATGAGTCAGTTCATTTGTATAATCATATGAATGACTCACATGTTTTTGCTTGCCTCTGATGTAGGTAAAGCATGTTGAAAAGAAGTAACTTAAAAGAACACTAAGTTTTATTAAAAACAGGAGAGAAAGTCATTTGCTACCCCTAAGTTTCCATTTATATGGAAGCTACAAATCCTGGCTCTTATTTCTGAGAAGCAATATGAATTTTCCATTTAGACAGCTGTAGCTAATATATAGCTATGTAGAATATTTGACTATTACCATTGAACTGAACGACTCTGGGCCAAGTTTTGTCCTCTTCTACTTAAGGGAAGCTCTCTGCGATGATACTAAATAACAGATTTAGGTAATACAAAATGTTTCTATTATCCCAGGATTATGAGTATGATCATTTGTAATTTAACACATCCCCTGGGGTATGATTACATTAAACAAATTCAGATAAATTGTCCATAGATAATCTCCCAAGTAGAAAAGAGAATATACCAAGTTACATGATATATTGAGACTCTAAGACTAAGAGAAAGTTTTTTGGTTTAGATAGTTATGTCTGTTGTCAGGGCACACTAATGCAGTTTCTGAAGTATAAGGATATTTTACAAATCATAGTCAAGTTCATAAGCTTGTTTAGGATTCGTAAGTAAATCACTAAGTCTACAAAGGACCACACGAGAAAGTATGTGGTCCCCCAATCACCCTCACCTGGTAACTTTTGAAGGCCCGTGAGCAAACTCAGGTGCAGCATTAATTTAATGTTTGAGTCAATGGAATGCTTTATAGTGGGTTTTTCCTTAGAAATTTATCCAGTTCCTTTAGGCAGCTGATCACTACTTGGTGAGTGAGAGCTGGTTTTCTTTAAGGGAGTGATTGCTAGATAGGCTGACCAGGCTCCAGCGGATGAACTCACACTGAGGGATATCTGGGGACACAAACTTGACTCGATAGGCCTTAACATATATGTCATAACGCATGAAATCAGTGGGAGGAGGGTGGCTATGGGGAAGTTCAGGTAGGGGAGGGGGTCAAAATATGATTAAAATGTATAAAATTCACAAAAAATCAATAAAAATAGTTACTGAAAAAAATTACATCAGTTTCTTTGGCCTACCAGTATTAGATTGTAAACTACATGGAAAGTTTTTCTCCTAAAATACATTTGTAGGGGGCTGGAGATATGGCTTAGTGGTTAAGAGCACTGGCTGCTCTTGCAGAGGATCCAGGTTTGGATCCCAGCACCAACATGGCAGCTAACTGTCCATAACTCCAGTTCTGAGGGTTCTGACACCCTTTTCTGACCCCTGTGGGAGTTGCAAGACATGGGTACACTTACATACATGCAACAATACACTCATACACACAAAAATAGACATCTGTACATGTGAGTAGAGATAAACTTGGGCATATACACATG